GTTGGTATTACAAATCACTGATACTTCAGGTACTTTTTTTTTTGTGGTCCCTCCTATGAAACAGTTCTACAGTATTCAGAAGTCTTAAAGTGTCATGTTATTTCCTTCCCGCTCCTTGAGCAAAAACTTGTTTTTATTGTTTGCTTGTCTTTATTTCCTTTTTTGCAGGCAGACTTAGATGTCTTGCTATGACTGATGAACAGTATTAATGACGCATGGATTTCAGGTCTTGCTGGGACTACCCATTCATGAAGAGGAGCACAGGTCACCAGCATGCCTTCTCTGTGTTGAGAATGCAAATAGGTCCTACTGAAATAAAGAACCATAAAAATGACAATTTCCAGAGAATAAAAGAAGAGGATCAAGAAGAGACCAGTCTGACTTGCCATGCAGCAGAAATACTTCCTTCAAAATAAATTCGATTTATATTAATTGTGGGGTTTTAGTGAGAATGAATGCCAACAAAAATTGAGAAGTGGCTATTCATATTTATTCTAAGAGTTCAAGTATCGCTGGAGTAGCAACCGTTGCAGACAACGTTTGTAAAGATAACACCGCTAATTGCACTACTGATGCAAAATTGTCTGCATATCTCGAGTACAGTATATTCAGTTTCTTCCAAGATGTTTTATTAAGGAGAAGCAGGAGAAATAGCCTTTGTAGTACTGAGAGGCTTTTGGAGAGAGTTTAGACAAATAGACTTCTGTTATTCATATTTTTAGTAGCAAAATCTTTGTTTTGAGTATATTGTAGCCACATAAAATGCTGCTGTTTACAGTTGTGCACCTTGAAAATTGTTCTTGTCAGATACCTTAGCTAAGTAGGGTCAGGTCTGTTTGATACTTGAATGATAGTATAGTACTTGACACTTATGGCACTCCATTTCCAAGGACTTCAGCATGGTTGCAGGCACTAATGAATTAAGCTTCACAGTACCTGTGGGATAGAAAATATTTCTATTTACTGATGAGGAGAGGTAACTGAGATGCAGGAAAGTTAAAGGTGATTTTTTTGGTGTGTGTGTGTGTGAATTTTTAAAGGTGATTTTAGGGAGAAGTAGATAACTTTATTCCAGTTGTGCAATGTACAGTAGGCAGCTCTACATTGTGTTTGCTGGTTCATAAGTTTTCTGACAAACCCCTCATGTTTGCTGTATTGTGAGTTGAAAAGCACATAGAATGATAGAATTTGCTCTAAAATGCCATCATCTTTTTTCATTGTTTTTGTCTTTTTTTTTTCCCAGTTTTATATTTTCACGTAGAAAATTTTTGCAGTCTCCAGGTGGTTTTGGTTTCAATCAATAGAATATCCTTGAATGGATTTATCCAAATAAATGTGAAAGCATGTGCAGCCATTGCTTAAATATTTCCATGGATAACAGCTTTTTTGCAAAAGAGTGAGTGCTTAGTATTGTGCATGCTATCCATTGAAAGCGATCAGTGTTTGGCACCTATGGCCTACTGATAGTTTGACCAACTTGTAAGTAGGCACAGTGCCATCTTAACAGATGGATATGAATATAGACAGCCAAGAAACCATGTATGTGTATCTAGTGTATTTGTTAAGGGCAGGGTTCCCAGCTGGGGACGTTCAAACTTATGTCCATTTTGAATTTTTGCTTTTATGGATAAAGGGAAGTTGTCATTAATTTTTTTTAACTAAATACCTTCAGGCATACAATTATTGACCATGTTAAACAAAAAAGAAAAAAAAAGAGGGAAACGCCAGCTCCTTTTTTAATACTCTTGAGGAGCTATTTTAAGTAAACTTAACTCCCTTTTAAGCGAGGCTACTATCAAGAGACTCACTGTGAATGTCAAAGATGTGAAGCCTATCCATGATTTTATTTCACTGGCTTGCTAGCTTTATTGAAAAATTTCTACGATTTTTTCTTTTACTGGACAGCAGTCTGTCCAGCATTCAAGCACCTAAGTGCATCTGTCCAAGTCTCGCTGGAGCTATTTGTAGCAACTCAGCGGTCAAGGGATGCAGTCCTTCAAGCCCTCTTCGTGAGGACAGTATGCTCATTTTGTATACGTTTTTGTACCCTTTAGATGACAGTGAGTGTGATCTCGTCCCACATCTGAATCATTAGGCAACACTGCTGATTTTTGTGCTTTCTTTTTCTCCTTATCTGAGTCAGTCTTGGGGCTCCAGAATTCTGGTTTATTTTCCCATTGGCACTTCTAATGGTTTCAGTCTGTCCTTTGTTCTTATCCTTTTCCTGATCTGGGTCTCCTGAGAACCTGCTGAAAGGTCTGCTGTGATCTTTTTGGCCTGCTCTTGTAAGTGATATCCATTCCTACCACTCTGTTCCTTCCGGTGCTTTGACATCGTTATGTTCTCATTGCTATGGTCTTAACTGAGCTAGCTGTAATTGCATTTGGTGCTTGGAAATCTCATTTTTTTTCCTGTAGAAAATCTGGAGGAAGAACCTTCCTCTAACACAGTACAGTATGTATCACCTTGAAGTCTTAAAAAAAAAAAAAGATAAAAAGGTGTAAAGAGAGGATTTTCTTGAAGACAGGGTATGGATAAAGTTGGGGGTAAAGTTAGTCTTAAATTTTAAGTGTAAAATGTCAAAACTGTATCTTGATTATAGGGCAGAATGTTACTGTAGAGAAGTAAGTGGAAATATGGGAAAGTAATGCAGAATTAAAACATCCTGTTTTGTGATAATGAGGAAGCTTGCGCAATGTAAGTTGATAAATACCAGTCTCTTCCTGTGATGTGAGTATTTCATAATACTATTTTGTTGAATTTCGTTTAACCACAGCAGGTGTTCAGATGTGGTTCTATGACACAGAGACACTTCTCAGATTAATAAGGACCCTGAAAAAGCAGAACTTTTCTTTGGCATGGAATCATACACCTCTTTTGCAATTATTCCTGTATTGAATGACTGTGGTGTCTGCAGACCGCTTGGTGCCAGAGTCTAATACTCTCGTACCAGGTTCTTTTAGATCTTCCATGTATGGAGGGCGTAATATTTAATATCAAATTTACTTACTTGAAGACAGTTGATGCTATATGGGATTTCTGATTTAGGAGAGTGATACAAAATATACTGAAAACAATACAAATGTAAGTTACACTTGGAAAAATACAGCAATTGCAATACACAAGTCAGTCACAATACTGATGTGATTCTTGTTACGGGTCTCTATAATGTGCTTACTGTCACCATACTGGTGTCCCCAGCCACGGGGAATGAATACCTCGGTTGAAATCAGCTCAAGCCCATTGCTTGCATTGAAATTCTTTTGCTAGTTGTTTAGTTTTATACTTTTATGTTGGGCTGAGCCTCTTATTCACTCCCCCTGTGCTGGCCTGGCTAACTCAGAGAGATATTTACACCACCATTTGATCCACTCAACAATTTTGAGCTCCACTCAACTGTTGTTTAGCTGTTTACCTAAAACAAAAGCCACCCACCTGTCCCCTTTTTGTTGAGCTAAAGTGAGCTCCTTGGGCACATCAGCGTTGCCCATCTCCACGGAGTGTTCCATGCATTGTCGGGCTTTATTCAGTCACACTCTGCCCCTAGGGGTTTGGTCAGTCACAGCTGCAATCTTGAGTATTAGCGGACAGAATAACATTTTCAGGAAACTTGACAGTTATTCTTGCATTTAGTAAGTAGAGTAATGGGTATGGGCTGCTCTCTTCAGATGTCAGTTGGGTGACAGACATTATTTGGGGAAGAAAATTTGTTGGAAGATACTAACTACCCAGTCAGAAAAGAGGCTTGTAGAGGGTGGAGTGCTTTTGGAACAGCTGTCATAGTTATGTGGCTTTCTATCTGAGAAATGGAAAAAAGTCCTAGAGGAACATTAGAACTAAAAGAGGAAATTGGTGTTAAGTAACTGCATTTGACTTAGGCTTATTGTATTGAGTAGCTAGACTAATGGGAAAAAGATACTTTGCTATCCAGAAACTTCCTGAATTGTGTATTATTATTCCTTCCTGCTTCCCCAAGCAAAATAAAATAATAATAATAATGATAAAATCCCACCAGTCAGAACGGTATCTTTTAGAAAATAACCGTGGCTCTGTTTGTATGCCTTTTATCTTCGTAAGGTAAAGATCAGTTCTTTGCAAAACAAATCATGAAGGCCTTTCATGTAAAGAGATCTAGTGTACTCTTTGCCATATCGTGGCCACATATTCAGTAAGTTCTTTTACTGAATCAAAATCTGGCTTTGCTAAAAACTCAAAACATTTATTTGCTCAAAATGAGGCCTGTTCGCAGAAAGATGCACTTGTTTGGTTCCAGTGGGCCGTTATGTTGTTTCTTGAAATATTGCTTATTTGAGACCTGAGGTTGGGAGAAGGCAATGGTAATACTTTTACATTTATGATCTCAAAATAGGTAGTTATGTACCAGTTTGTTGATGATCTAAATGCTGCCCTGTGAACAATAAGACTTTCATTTTGGTTGCTTGCAGTTATATAGGAGAAAAAAATAATTAACTGTTTGAATGGCTTAATTTTTTGGTTTTTTTTTTTTACAGCTAAGAGGAATTCCTCATATTTTTACTGAGGACTTGGACTATATGACACTTCTTCAATAAGCAAGTTTCACTCCAGGAAAAGTGATGGGCTTTATTTCATTAGTTTACTTTTTTCTACGTTTAGACCTACTTGGTTGTGATTGATTGAGTACGATAGATTCTGAGATTTTTCTAGCATGTATTATACAAGGTCTTCTAATAGGTTTCTCTTGTGAAGATTTTTGCTGCCAAATTTTTTTGTGATGCCTGGAAAAAATAGTTGTTTTTCACTTAGAATTCATGCCAATGAAACTACTTACTGTATTTCTTTTAAAGTATCTTTGTAGTAACAGATTAAAACTTGAACAGTCCATACTTTTTCATGCTTCTGACAGATTTCTACATAAAATAAGTCTGGTCAGCTTGTAACTTACACTTATTTTTCTTTTTCTTTCTCTTTCC